TATAGGGAAACTGTTACTCAGCGTAGTTAACTATCTTCCCCCAAGTCACAGAATGATTTAATGCCACACAACTGAAACCCAAAACTTCTAAATCTTTTTCCTGTACTCTTTCCACTGTTCAGGTGACCGTGACATTCTATCAAGTCCAGTATATCATTTTTAGTAAGTTATTTGTAACTTTTGTTGACAGTTTATTGTTTAAACTCGGTAACGTCCAGGATCAAACTACCTCTAAAAACCTAGACAAGACTATTTCTCATCTCTGACACTACTGATGTTGAAAGTTCAATTCCTTCTCCAAGATTTTTTTAATGTTTCTTCAGGGCTTATGTTTTCCTGACACCTCTTCCTTCAGCTGACTCTTGTTCTCCGTGTGGCATTGTGCAACTTTTTCTTTATTGCCAACTATGTTCTTGAGCTGGTATTCAACCACCTTACCTATTTTCATTTATATACAAACAAATCTTGCACACAAAGACTGTCACAGATTTTACAGAAAGGTTAGACAAATTATGAAACAAATTGGTTTTATACTGTTGACCAATAAGCAAATAGAACTGAATAATAATCAACCATGTTATATGAAACCTTCTTTTAACAACAAAGTGAGTTGGATTATTCTTTATTAGTACACAATTGCAGTACATAATGATTGAATTCGTTATGAGTTGATGCAATAAATAACTGGTTGCTCAGTTACTCAGCCATTTTCCCCTTTTTTATTTCCTCTCCCCATTAGCACTTTTGTTTTAAATCCAAAGTAATTTTACCCTCCATTTGTTCTGCCCTCCACTCCACATCCTATTGTGAGACCTTTTGATCATTCCCAAAGGCTCCATCAAGAAATTTTCTTTGCTCAAACCCATTTATTTCCAAAGCAAATTCTACTTTTAACTTTAAAAGATAGGATTTTTTAACCACCCATCAACTATGTCACATGAAGTACACAGGGATAAAATCACTCTAAAAGAGTAGCTAATCTGATGAGGAAATATATGCATACAATTCATATTTCTCTTTAGCTTATGAGTTTGTCAAAACACAATGAGACCATGCAGCATTTAGCAGTGCAGTCTGTCAAGCAAGACCACCTACCCAGGAACCCTTGAGTTCATATATCCCGACAGATTTGAGAGGAAGGTCAATCTAATAAAATTTAGCTAACAGAACTATGAAAACTATATAACCCACACAACTGGAGAGAGGATAGATGTCTGAAGTCTGTCCAAGGGAGAATCACTAGATGACCATAGGCAAAAATGGCCATGAGGTTTCAACTAGCTTTGTAGATTTCTGAACTTGAGTCATCAGAGTTTAAAACCATAGTAACAGCTTCTAAGCATCTGTTTAATCTATTTTACCTGAAGGGGAGGAGGAAGGGAGGAAGGGAAGGAGGAAGGAAGGAAGGAAGAGGAAGGAAGGAAGGAAGGA